TCTGTCATGATGCTGCCAATTGGCCCAGTGGTGAGAATCTTTGTCTTCTGGGTTTTGAGCTTCAGTCCACTACAGTCCTTGAACTGCTGCAGCAAGAGCTTCAGGTCTTCTTCAGTTTCCGCAAACAGGGTTATGTCATGTGTATAAGGCAGGTTGTTGATGAATCTTCCTCCAATCCTGATGCCACATTCCTCCTCATAAAGTCCTGCTTCCTGAATGATCTGTTCTGCATATACATTGAAAATGTATGGAGATAGTATGCATCCCTGCTGTACTCCTTTCTTGATTTTGAGCCATGCATTATTTCTCTGCTCTGTTCTGAGGATTGCTACCTGGTCAAAGTATGGTTTCACATAAGCACAATCAGCATTTTGGAGAGATCCTTGACTGCAGACTTTCCTAGTGCTACACATCTGTTGAATCCCTAACTGCTGGAACCAAGTAAAGACCATTATAGGTAATACACATATATGTATTTGTTGTTGTTATGTGCCATCAAGTCAACTACATCTCATAATGACATAATAGCTCTCACTCCTGCTCTATCCTGAGCCAATCTCACCGTGTCTGACACACCCACCCTCAGTTATTGTGTCAATCTATTTTATCTGAAGTTTTCCTCTCTAGTGCTGTCCCTCCACCCTTTAAAGTATGAAGTCCTTCTCCAAGGACTGGTCCCTCCTGGAAGTATGCTCAAAGTATGTTAAGACAGCCTCAAAATTCTTGCCTCCAAGGAGCAGATTGATTTCACTCTATCGAGGACAGATCTGTTAGTTCTCTTGGCAGTCCATGGTGTGTTCAATACTTTTCTCCAGCACCACAATTCAAAGGCATTGATCCCTCATGTATCGTCCTTAGTCATTCATTATCCAGCTCTCTCATGCACAGCAAGTAATTGCGAGGACCATGGCCTGTATCAGGTGCACCTTAGTCTCTAGACTGATATAGTTTTTCTTTCCTCTGGAGAAGTCCCCGGCAGCAGATTTTCCTAATGCAATTTGTCTTTTGATTTTCTGACTACTGGTACCAAAAGTGTCGATTGTGGAACCAAGCAAGCTTAAATCTCAATCTCTTCTCCATCATGGTGCTGCCAGTTGGCCCAGTGATGAGAATCTTTGTTTTCCTGATACTGAGCTTTAATCCATATTGAAGACTACAGTCCTTGACCCTCTGCAGCAATGCTTCCTCCAATCCTGATGCCCTATTCCTCCTCTTAAAAGTCCAGCCTCCCAAATGATCTGTTCTTCATATCAATTGAAAAGGTATAGAGATAGGACACATCCCTGTCATGCTCCTTTTCTCAGTATTTCCATGTTCTGACAACTGCCTTCTGGCCCAAGTACAGGTTTCACCTGAGCACAATCTAGTGTTTTGGGATTCCCATGCTTCTCAAGATTCTCAATTTGTTGTGATTCACACAGTCAAATGCCTTTGGAAAGTTAATAAAACACAGACCTTCTTCTAGAACTCTCTGCTTCTAGCCAAGATCCATTTGACATTGGCAATAATGTCCTTATTGCTTTGCCTCTTGTAAAGCTGGCTTGTATTTCTGATAGTTCTTTGTCGATGTACTGTTCCAGTCTTTTTTGGATGATCTTCAGCAGGATTTTGCTTGTGTGTGATATTAATGATATCATTCAGTAATTTCCACACTCTACTGGGTAACTTTTTTTTTTAATGGGGATAAATATGGATCTCTTCCAGCCAGTTGGCCAGGTGGTTGTCTTCCATATTTCTTAGCACTGCTGGTAAATACTTCCAGGGCTGCATCTGTTTGTTGAAGTATGTCAATCGGTATTTCATCAATTTCTTGGCCTTGCTTTTTTGCCAGCTCCTTCAGAGCAGCTTGAAATTCCTCCTTCATCACTGTTGCCTCTTGAACATAAGTTGTTTCACGAAACCCTTCTGTGTCAGCCAATTCTTTATGATACAATAATTCTGTGTTATGTCTCTCATCCTCTTTTGATGTTTCCTGGATCATTCAATATTCTGCCCATAGCAACCTTAAGTATTGCAACTTGAGTCTTAAATATGTTCTTCAGTACTTTCAGCTTTAGAAATGCCAAATGAATTAATACCCCCCTTTTTTTAACTTATACTGGTTTATTTAAAGGTCATCCCTTTTGATTTTCAAACTCCAGCTCTTTGCACATTTCATTTCATTACAATACTTTGCTTTGTCTTTCGGAACTGCCCTTTGAAATCTTTTTTCCTCTCAACTTCTCCATTTCTTCCCTTTGCTTTGGCTTCTCTGTGCTATAGTGCAATCAATATTCAGAGTCTCTTAGTCTTTTTTCCCTCCTCTGTCTTTGTAATGATCTTTTGTATTCTTCATGGATAATATGCTTGATAGCCTTTGTTCATTAGTGTTCAAGACCTCAAACCTGTTCCAGAGATGGTTTTTTCATTCAGGTGGGATAGACTTAAGGACAAACTTTGATTCTTGTGGATTTCATTTTCTTTCACTTCAGTTTGAATTTGCCTATGAGTAGTCGATGTCCTTTGGGCATGTTAGCAGGAGGGACTAGTCCTTGAACAAGGACATCATGCTTTGAAGGGAAGAGCATCAGGACAGGAGAGGAAGACTCTGGATGAGATGGATTGACACTGACTGTGGCAATGGGGGCAGGTGTGTTAGAGATCGTGAGGATGGCTCAGGTTAGTGCAGGGTTCAGAGCTGTTGTTCATAGGATCATAATGAGTCATAGTCGACTAGATGGCACATAACCACCACTACCTAGTTGACTGCCTATCCCACTTCAAAATTTTGCTTCATATGAGAGCCCAAGGGATCTCTGATAGCCTGATATTTAAGGAGCTGTGATGTCAACCCAAAGGCAAGTGGTTCAAATTCACCAGTTGCTTATGGGGGGAAAAGTTGAGCAATCTCATCCTCCCTGGTTTACAGCCTCTGGAAGTCAGCCGGTTATGAGTCAGTTTGGACTTAGTTTATCACAACAAAAACAACATAAAAAGCCCAACACACCACAGCTGTAGGGTGTTAGGCAAGTGAGGTGACTAGTGATTTGGCAGGTGACTTTCTGCCCAAGATTTGGTTTAATTCTTTCTCTAGAGAAGGCAATAATCTACTTGGTGATATCCAGAAACAAAACCTCACTGAGATCTGCTTTGCAACATAGTCATCTTCTAAAACTACCACCATAAACTGTTTACAGTTTGAGTTGTTTATAAAAGCCCTGCATATTTGGAGATAATGCTGTCCTGTAATTCCTGAACACAAGAAGTTGTGGTAACAGAAGGCTAGCATGTTCTTCCTCTCAGCCTTTCCAACTGATGCTTCACAACTCTGACATCTTCTTGGCAACTAGTAAGACTTTTAGTTATTTTGTATTTTTTTCCAATTCACATTGTGAATTAACAAATTGTGCAGGAATCCCATCATATTATACCTGGCTTGTTACAATAATCACTTGGGCTGAACTGTCCAGCTGTGAAACAAAATCCACATCAATTTATGCTGACCTCCTGAAATCAGGGAGCTGTCACACAGTCTGGGTTTTTGGTCATTGCAAGTTCTTTGATTTGTCCCAGGGGAAGGTTGGTAAGTTGGGTTGGTTTTTTTTTCTATTTGAAATAAAGTACAGCTCTAACTGGTTATTTTTTAAACAGGTTAGTAGAAATAGGAATATTATTTTGCAAAAAAATACAGTATCTTCAAATTATTTTCTAATTATAAACATATTTATTATTAATAGCAGTAAAATTAAAAAAAAAATTTTGTTGTCTTTGAGTTAATTGTAACTCATGATGGGTATATGTGTCTGAGTAGAATTTGCTCCAGATGGCTGTCACTGGCCATAATCTCATGGAAGTGGATTTACTAGGCCTTTCTTCTGCTGTACTATAAACAGATCCAAATTATCAACCTTTCATTTAGCAGCCTAATGCAGGCTTGAATTGTGGACAGGCCATCTCTCATTCAGCAATTCCAAAGAGAAAGAGGTATTGTCAATGCTATGCACACCTCAACATTTTGCATAAAAATTTCTAATTGAACTATTTAACATTATTTTTGTCATGTGCCATTGAGTGGCCTGAGATTCTTATCGACCCTGTGTACAACAGCCCTAAACCCTGCATGCCAATCTTATTGGTCTCTGGCATACCTATGCCTATTACCCTAGTCACTGAATCAATCCACATCATAGGTTTTCCTCTCCTATGTTGTCCCACCACCCTCCCAAGCATGACATCCCTCTCCAAGGACTGGTCCCACCTTGCAACATGTCCAAAGTATATCAGACGAATCTTCAGAATCCTTCCCTCCAAGGAGCAGCCTGGTCTCACCTTCTTTAGGATGAATGTGTTTGTTCTCCTAGCAGTCCATGGGATATTCAGTACTCTTCTCCAGCACCACAGCTCAAAGGTATCAACTCTTCATCTATCATCCTTAGTCATTGTCCAGCTCTCTAATGCATAGCAAGTAATTGCAAAGACTGTGGCCTGGATCAGGCACACCTTAATCTCCAGACTGACATCACTTCTCTTCACTACTATGGAGTGGTTCCTGACAGCAGACTTTCCCAGTTCAACTTGTCTTTTAATTTCCTGGCTGCTGGTACCAAGAGTGTTGATTGTGGAGCTGCTAAAAATCTCAATCTCTTCACCATCTATTATGATGCTGCCAATTAACCCAGTAGTGGGAATCTTTGTTTTCTTGATGTTGATCTTCAATCCATATTTAAGGCTGTAGTCCTTGACATCAGAATCAGATTAATCCATGCCAGATCACTGCCAGGCTCATGAACACTTCAGTATAAGGTGCATTTTCATTCTTATTACTCATTTCACTAAGTGAAAACCTGAATACTTAGAACTTTTATTTTAACTGCACTCAAAGCAAAGCAAAGACATGTACCCAGGAGTTGTTCTGGTAGCCAGTTTAAAAATAGATCACAGTGTAAATAAAATGGATAAATTCCATGCTTTAATTCCCAAAGATCATAGACAAGGAAAAGTTGTTTTTATTCTCAAAGCTTTCAAAGAAAAGACTTCACCATCTTACATGGGATGAGACTTTGTGGATTGTCCTCTTCAGAGAACATGTCTGGAACGTCCCTGTCTCGTGCATGAATAGGCATTTTCTGGCCCTGCACAGACATGAGCTTCACTTCCAGCGGGCCCAATTTTACATAATCCTATGACAAACAGACACAGAAAAGAAGAGGTTGTTTAGCAAGTCCCCAGCCTTAATAGCTTAGATTTTCTTTATTATGTTTGGCTCTAACTGTCGGATTTCACTCTCCTCCTAATTGTCATGTTTGGTTTAATGATAGTGGTATTCACAAGTCTTCCTTATATGTGTAAGGATTTTATCCTGTCACTCACAACATTGTATTTCAGGATGGATCTAGAAACGACCTTTTTATACTATGAAAGCAACCCCATTTTTCCTCATCTTTTTATCTTTGGCATAGTAGATTATATGATTGTATAACACATGAAATATGAGAATCACTGTAACTAAAAAACAACTCGGAAAACCTACATTCCTAGAAGGGCCTGATGGATGAGCTCCCCTAAAGAGAAGATGGCAAGAGACTGAGGAGATTGGCAAGGGAATGGAGAGAAGAAGGCTGGCTAACACACGGAGATACATTTTCTGCAAGGTCTTTTATTGGTGAAAGAAAGTATTGGCTATTGGCTGTATACATACATATGTGGCCCTCTCCTGCTCAGAATATAACCACAGCTGAGTGTTCCATCTTATTTGGGAGTAAAGAGAAAGATCCACTGTTGCAGACCAAGGGTAAACTATATTAATAATTAGTGATGAGACAAATGGACAAGTGTTGGCTGGAGCTTCCCGACTAAATTAAGCCTGGAAGCAGGAGCGGCATCCACTTCCGAAATGGCTTGCCTCCAGAAACTCTATGTATGAACGCTGCTCAGGCTGTTCATTCTAGGGTCGCTATGAGTCGTCTAAGATTCGACGGCATCAAACAACAACAACAAGACAAAACACCAAGAATGAGATAAAATAGAGAGCATAAAAATAGGCCCCAGCAGTTCCAATCAGCTGAAGCACCACAAGCCACACCTCATCAAGGAAACAAATCATAAAGAGAAATCTCTTGTAAATGAAGCCGAATTTTTCTCTATTGTTAACCTGATGCTTAGCTCAGGAAGGAAGAATTTCGCATGTATTAACACTCGTTCTGCAGGGGGGCCCTAGCTGTTTCTTGTCTGCAGGAAACAGCTCATTTCCTATGATCTGTCACAAGAGAAATTCCAACTTACAATTTTGTGATTCCTTCAATTCCTGAGTAAGCATATGGTTTATCATATAATATTTGGTATGAAATGTGGCTTCCCACAATCCACTAGAGCCATTTCACAGCAAATATTTTAATACTGATCAACTGTTTATAGATCAATAATTTATCTGTGCTTTTCACAGAAATTTGGGCAACTGTACAAACTTAATCATATATTATCAAAGTCACTGTCAAGTCTGAGATATCAACAGTAAAACTAGATGTATAATTTATGTCAAAATTTATATTCATATCCAAACCACTAGAGAGATGTGGCTTCTAGATTTTTAGTGTAACTCCCTATGAACTAGGGCACTAGACCTTCCTGTTTAATCCCAGAGTCAAGGAAGAATTGATCCCTTTGAGCTGCAGTGTTGGAGAAGAGCACTGAACATCCCATGGAAGGCCAAAACAACAAATGTTTTAGGGTGTAGCCAGAGTGCTCTTTGAAGGTTAAGATGCTGAGGTTTCACCTCATATACTTTGGGCATGTTGCTATGAGGGGCTGTTCCTTGGAGAGTGACATGAAGGGTGGAGGGAATAGTATTAATGGGGACAATGCCCCTTTATGAAACAAGTAGAATTCAGACTCAGCTTCCCCCACATTGCATCTCTTCCTTTTATATAAGCCAATATGAGAGTCATTCTATAAATAAATAAATGGAACAAACTAACAATTGGTAGAACTGAAAATAGAATACAATGAGAGATGCGAATAGTTGTCCAGTTTTACAAATGACAGAACTTTTCAATTTCCATATTTAAAATTGTAGGTTAATATTCTCAAGTAATAGAACTGTTTGTTCTTAGAGATCAAAGTTGTGTTCACATAAACTTTACCTTGAAATCCTGCTCATCCTCATACAGTAAGTATTTCATGTCAGAGGCTCCAAACTCTATGTATGAACTATCTTCATCTTCTGCATGCCTGTTGACCTCGCTAAAGGTATCCGCTTGGTTGAAGACTGAGGCACTGCTTTCATAGAACAGACTTCTCGGGCCTTTGTGTTGTCGTTCTTGTAATTTTGACAATGGTTCTGGGATAAATACAAAGAAATTAAATATGTGTACATTTTCAGTATTCTTTGTCACATTCTTCATTTGAAAGACACTTGATAATTTATTAAAATGTGAATGTGTCTCAATTTTTAAAACTCCAATTTCTATTTCCTTCTGTTAGTTGAGTTGTCAGTAACCATAGGAAAATCTCTGAAAGAATTTGGGCTGGAAAAATTTGAATCCAAACCACACCAATGTAGACAACTCCCCATCTCTTTCCATCAACAATTATTTATTTAATTCATTGTGAAAGTGGTGGCTTTGATTTGACTTTGAAAAGGAAATTAAAAAAGAAGAAAAAGGTTAGGACAGATTCTGCAAGAAGAGAAATAAGGAGTTGGCCTGTATTTATTCTTTGAATATCTCTTGGATGTGAAGTGCCTGGACAAAATAGATGTTCAATAACTTGAAAAAAATTAACACTAACAATAGTGAAATAATACCATCAAATATATCTTGACATTTCAAACCCTTTTCTTCTGGCGGCACTTCCTGGCCAGCTGCTTGGGTAAGAAATAGTTGCCTAAAAGATCAAATAAGAAAAGCAATTTATCAGTCAACAAATATTATACTACATTTTCACTAGTGTCTCCTAGTGTTGGAGACCCAGAGGTGAAAAATTCGACCCTTGAGGTTTCCTCCAGGCCACCCTACCCTCCCTCCTCCATGGCTGAATTAAGTGCTGCTTCTCGACTGCACTTTTCACACTGTGCTAATTCTCTGTCCTCAAACCACTACTTTTATGTGTTTACTAGAGACAGTTCAGCTCTCCTTCTCATCATCCTACTAGATATTATTAAGGAACTGAATTCTCAAGAAAGAGGTTAATGTTGTTGAGTACCATAGAGTTGGACCCTTCCTATAACTGACCATCCAGCGGATTTTCAGAGGCAGTAAATCACACAGGATGAGAGTCCCCAATCTTCCCCAAGAAAGGTAGATGTAAAATACATAACATACATGCTATTTCTTTGGCTTGGAAATAGAAACTTATTTTAAAAGCTTCTGATATATTCAGATTATCCTTCTGGCCAAGAAGTAAGGGCTTTTACATGTCTTCATTTCTTTATGCAGATCTTTCTCAAATGTTCTAAATATTTGTGTCATGGGTTTACAGTGTAGCTAAAACCGCCCAAACATTCAACAAGTAAACACAAGTGTGATAAATGTTGTGAATAAGGAAGGAAAAAATCTAGAGTGCCATGGGGTATATACCAAGGAGTCTTAACAAGCCTCTTAAAAAACACATCCCATCCTAATGTTTATTTTTCCTCTTGGGCAGATTTTTATTCTTTCTTTCCTGAAAGAAAACAACCCAAAACAAAACACGACAAAACCCAAACTCCTAAAGCTTTGATGAACAGTGATGACTATTGACTATTTTATGGGGAAGACTGAGGAGAGAGTTAAACTGTATATGCCATAGCAAACAGTGAAAATGTTTCTCTTCCCTTTATGTCCTTGCCAAGTTCTCCCTGGCTGATGAAAGAATCCCTTTATGTTATAACTATTTAAAAAAAAATCACTTCCATTTCAGCTCCAAATCAGATTTACCAGACTAAGTGGACTGAAGCACAGATGTGGCACTGTCCCTTCTGAGGGTAGCCCTTTCCTAGGGCTTGGCCAATACCGAGAAGAGGAAAAGAGGGAACTAGATAGCAGGTTAGTGCAGTTAAAAGCCACAGAGCCAGGAACAGCTGGCAGAGATTAGACATAATCACAAAGAAGACAGTGGCAGATGGCAAGGATTAGAGAGAAACAGCAGTGTGGCCCTGGAGACCTGATCTTAGAGAAGCATTTCCTTCTGGGAGGATAATGAGGCACCCACACACTAGGGAGCCCTGAGGGCATCATCTCAAGAGACTGAAAACACAGGAGCCCAGTAATGGAAGGAAGTGGGGGGCGGGGCGGGAATCAACCTGACCTCTTATAATATCTACAGAGATGTCAACCTTTTCTGTTCAGAACACATAATTGAAGAAAAGCAGCTGTTCTACTTAACCTTCAGTTTATAAAATAATTGAAATATCTTCCTGTTCTCACAGTCTTTTATCCTGATACTCTTCACCTACACAAGAAAACAATCCCTAAATCACAAGTGCCCACCCTCTTTGGGAAACTTTTGTTGTTTGTGCACTGCCACGTTGGAACTGACACATAGCTGACCCTCTGGCAGGTTTTCAGAGGCAGTTAATTAGCACAGATAATTTGGGAAACTTTTGGGAGTTTGTAATTAAATCCTTAATGCATCGCATCTCAAACAGTACTTTGCCCCCCCACAACAAGCCTCCTCCTGTGCTATTTATAGCCTCTGAAAACCTGCTGGAGGATCAGCTATGAGTCAGTTCCAACTCAATGGCATCTAACAACAACAACTTTTACCTGCATATGCTGAGATCCACAAGTCGAGCACAAAAGCAACAGAAGCTACATGAATAGGAATTTTTTTCTTCCTTGCTTTTTTCACTTTGTTAAATTTACTATGTACCTGAGATCCACAAGTCGAGCACAAAAGCAACAGAAGCTACATGAATAGGAATTTTTTTCTTCCTTGCTTTTTTCACTTTGTTAAATTTACTATGTACCTGAATTTCTAGACTCTGAATTTTGTTTCCTAGAAAGTAATTATACTCTTGGCATTATTCAAAGGAAACGATTAAGTCTGCAGTGCACAAGGTAACCAGAAGCTCAGAACACCTTCAGGAAAGTGGATTGCTCTCCTTTTGTGTTAACTTTGTAACCCACACATCCTCCACTGCGTGGTAATTTTTCATGCCTATCTCCCTGAAGATTGACAATTGTACTTTCACACAGTTTAAATCCCATCTGTTCTCCAGAGGAAGATGCGCAATCTCCTTCCATGTGATTTACTGCCTCTGAAAACTCGCTGGAGAGTGAGCTATGGTTCCAACAATAACAAACATTATCACTTTAATGCACTGCGAACAAAACCAGATCAAAGCTTCATTCCCTCCCTCACTCACTCACTGGTTGCCATTGAATTGCCAATTCAAAGCTTATCTACTGGCAAGTTTTCAAAGACAGTAAATCGTATGGGAGGAGATTGCCCATCTTGGTTCTATGGAGCAGCTGGTGGATTCAAGCTGCTTGCCCTTGCTTTAGTAGTGAAACTGCCTAGTTACTAGGCCACCAGTGCTTTCTTATATTTTTACCATGCTGTTTTATTGGTTTCTTTTTGAAAATTCACTCTGACTGGAACAGTTAAAATACTCTCTTTAAAATTGGGAAGCAAAACACATTTTTTTAAGAAAAAATAAGAACTTTCACATATATGAATGGAAATATTCCTTTAAAAATTGAAAACCAAAACAATATTTTTTTAAAACTTTCATAGATATGAATGCTTACAAAGTATTTTTAAATATGTTAATTATTAGGAACCCTGCTAGGTTAATGGTAAAGAGTCAGGCTACCAACTCAAAGGCACGTGGTTTGGATCTCCCAGCAGCTCTGTAGAGAGAGATGGACAATTTCCTCCTGTGCTGTTTACAGCCTCTGAAAACCCACTGGAGGGTCAGGTATGAGTAGGTTCTGACTCGAGAGCATCTAACAACAATAACTTTTACCTGGATACGTTGAGATCTGCAAGTCTACAGTTGAACAGTTGATCAATGAGCACCAAATTTTCTTCTTCTAGCTCGTGAATAATGCTTTCCAATTTTTCAACTTCTTTCCTGTGAACTGCAATCTATCCCCAGAAGAACAAAATAGATATTGGTACTTAATGGATTAGTTCTTCTGTAAGAAGTCTAACTAGTAAAAGTGCATTTGCCTGAGAAGATGATGAATCACTATTTATTACTGCATGTGGGCTTATGAGATTGTCAGGGGCTTCCCTGTTGACTAAAGACATTGATCAGTGCACACAAAAGGATAAGACATTTTGGGGACATGACCTCCATGTTGGAAATCCTCTGGACCTTGTGCTATGCATTGCTTCATTTGTATCCTTTTTGCTATAATAAAACAATGTTCATAAGCATTGCACTTTCCTTGAGTTATGAGGTGTTTTAGCAATTATCAGACCTGAAGGAGTAGTAGGTGGCAACACATGAGAAGTGAGGGGACTTGGAAACTTCTGAGCATATTTATGGATAGTAACCCAAAGAAGTAGATAAAACCCCAGAGTTTGAAGATCCAACTGCTCCGGGGCATCTTGATTTTCTAGCTGGAATCTAGTGGTAAAACTTTAATTTGCAGCCAGCAAATAAGAAGTGAGGGTGTGGTGAAGATGCCCAAGATCTTAAGAAGGTTATTTTCTGAGATGTAACCTAGTTAACCTACTTGCATGGTTAAATTGTTATTATAGAAAGTTAGTTGTCGTCTCTTCCTTCTGGGTAGGAAGTTGTGGTTCAAATCCACAAGCAGCTCTGAGGGAGAAAGATAAGCAATTTCCTCCCATGAAATTTATAAGCATCTGAAAAATTCACTAGGGGGTCAGCTATGAGTCCAGCCTAACTACAGCAACAAATTTTTTGACCTTTCATAAGCATTGCTACTGAATGAGTTTGTTGTTGTGTTAGGTGCCATTGAGTTGAGAACAATTAATAGTGACCCTATGAACGATCGACCTGAAACCTCCTCTATAAAGTGCCATCGTCACTCTCTTCAATAGATTTGAGTCCACTGCTTTCAATCCATCTTGCTGAGGGTCTTCCTCTTTTTCACTGACCCTCTACCTTTCCAAGTATGATATCCTTTTCCAAAACATAGCCTCTATAGAAACATGCCCAATGTATGTATATGAAGCTTTCCCATCATTACTTCTCCAAGGAGCAGTCTGGCTGCACTTTCTCCAAGACATCTGTTTGTTCTTTTTGCCAGTCCATGGGATATTCAGTACTCCTTCAGCACCACAACTCAAAAGCATTACTTCTTCTCTCATCCTTACTCATTATCCAGCTCTCGGATGTATAACAAGTGAGTGAAAAGACTTTGGCCTGAATCAGGCACACCCTATTTTTCCAAACTTAAATCATTGCTCCTTAGTAATTTGGAGAGGTCCCTGACAGCAGATTTTCCCAATGCAATATGTCTTTTGATCTCCTGATTTATGGTACCAAAGGCATTGATTGTGGATTCAAGCAAGATGAAATCACTGATAGTTTCAATCTTTTCTATCTTGGTGTTGTCTGTTAGCCCAGCGGTGAGAATTCTTGTCTTCTTGATGTTGAAATGTAATTCTTATTGAAGGCCATAGTTTTCAAGTATAGTGTTTCAAGTCTTCCTCACTTTTAGCAAGCAAGGTTGTTTCATCCGCATAATGCAGGTTGTGATGAATCTTCCTCTGATCCTAATGCCACACTCTTCTTCATAGAGTCCAGCTTCTTGAATGACTTACTTAAGTGTACAGATTGAACAGGTATGGGGAAAGGATGCAACCCTGACACACACCATTCCTGAATTTAAACCGCCATGTTCCTTTTCTCTGCTAGAACAACTTCTGGGTCTGGGTATAGGTTTCATATGAGAATAATTAAGTGTTCTAGGGTGCCCATTCTTCTCAATATTAGCCATAGTTTGTTTTGATCCACACAGTCAAGGCCTTTGCATAGTTAATAAAACACAGATTCTTCTGGTATTCTCTGCTTTAAGCTAGGATCCATCTGACATCAGCTGTGATATCCCTGACTCAGTAACTGTTGTAATGAGGGTAGCTGTGTCAGAGACAGTAAAGTTGGCACAAGGTAGAGCAGGTTTCAGGGCTATAGTGCATAGGGTCACTATGAGTCATAAGTGACTCAATGGCAAACAACAACACCACCTCTTTAAAATCCACCTTGAATTTTTGGCACTTTACCATTGATGTACAGTTCCAGCCATTTTTGGATGGGACCTGCATCTTGTAGACCATGAGTTAGAGAAAGAGACAAATAAGAAAATGCAGTTCGTTTTCTAGTGTGATATTTTAGCAGTGAAATGAGAATCTCTCTAAGTTTATTATAAACAACACAGTAAAAACTAATAATATTGGAAAGGATAGTATGGAATTTTTAAATTGATAAATGCAAGCCTGCTAGCTCTTTCAATCAGCCTCCATAATACAATTATGTTTTCTCTGAGTGCTGAGGCTTTTCTGATAAATATAAACTAGATGAAATGTTGTTCACTCAATCAATTGTATTACATGTGCCAGAAATGATATTACGTTTTGGCAACAAAATATCAACAATGTACAATAATCTGCAAGGATGCTTTACTTTAGAGTTGTTATTGTTAGTTGCCATCAAGTTAAGTATGACCCACAGGTACCCTATGAACAACAGATCTGAACCTGATCCTATCCTGTGCCATCCTCACAATTCCTAGCATATTAGAGCACATTGCAGCAGTCACTGTGTCAAGTTACCTGGTCAAGGCTCTTCCTCTTCTTTGCCGACCATCTATCTTTCCAAGCATTATGTGCCTCTCCAAGGAATAGTCCCTCTTAGCAACATGCCCAAGTTATGTGAGGCCTCATCATCTTTCCCTCCAAAGAGCACTCCATCTGTGCCCTCTCCAAGACATATTAGTTCTTTTGGCCACCCATAGGATGCTCCGCGTTCTTCTCCAACACCACAGCTCGAAGGCATCAATTCATCTTTTTTCATCCTTATTCATTGTCCAGCTTTCAGATGCATACCAGGCGATTGGAAAGACTATGGCCCAAATCAGACCCACCTCAGTCCTTAAGCTGACATCATTACTCCTCAATAATTTGAAGAGGTCCCTAACTGCAGACTTCCCTAGTGCATTATGTCTCTTGATTTCCTGAGTGCTGGTTCTAAGGGTGTTAATTGTGGATCCAAGTAAGATAAAGTTGTTGACAGTTTCAGTCTTTTATCCATCATAATGTTGCCTATGGGTACAGTGGTAAGAATCTTTGTTTTCTTAACACTGAAATGCAATACATATTGATGGCTCTATTCTTTGATCTTCTGTAACAAGTGCTTCAAGTTCTTCTCACTTTCAGCAAGTTTGTGTCAACTGCGTAACACAAGTTTTTGATGAGTTTCCCTCTAATTCTCCACATTCCTCTTTACAGAGTCCAGCTTCTCAAATAATTTGCTTAGCATACAGATTGACTAGGTATGAAGAGAGAATACAAGCCTGATGCACTCCTTTTTTAATTTTAAACCATGTACTGAAGAGCAACGATGTCTGGAGACTATGGTGAGCCGGATTCAGGCCATGGTCTTTGTGATTATCTGCCATACATCAGAAAGCTGGACAATAACTAGGAGTGATAGAAGCAGAATTGATGCCTTTGAGCTTTGGTGCTAGAGAAGAATATTAAATATACCATGGCCTGCTAGGAGAACAACAGGTTCGTCCTGGAGAGGGTGAACCAGGCTGCTACTTGGAGGCAAGGATTTCAACATTTATTACTTGCTGTCCTGCTGAACTTTACCAATGCTACTGGGGTGAGATGGTATCCCATTGTGGTTTTGATTTGCATTTCTCTTATTGCCAGCGATTTTGAGCATTTCTTCATTTGTCTGTTGGCCACTGAATTATCTTGCTCTTTGAAAAGTCTTTGTGTCTTTTGCCCATTTTGTAATTGTATGAACAGTCCTTTTCTTATGGAGGCCCTGTAGGAGTCTGTAAGCTTTTGATATGAGACATTTGACTGACACTGCCAAATGTTTTTTCCCTAGTAGGTTTCCTCTCACTCTGGTGGAAAATGCACACAGAGATTTTTTAAAGGTCCCATTCATTAGTTATAGCTTGTCCAGATTGTGCATTTCTGGCTATATTTGGCAGTCTCTCTATACCAGAGGCTAAGGTTGATCCCAGTTTATCTCTGATGAATTTTATGATTTTGGGCTTTACTCCCAGATTTCTAATTCACCTTGAGTTCATTTTTTGTGTATGGTGTGAGATATGGATCCCGTTTCAGCTTTCTGCAGGTGGTAGTCCAGTTTTGCCAGCACCATTTGTTGAAGAGGTGCTTTCATACCAATTTTGCTCTGTGTATGGTATGGCAAGAAAGGAGGACAGGCAAACTTCATTTTAGGATAAGAAGGCAGGAGTGTGGGTGATTAGATTGTGGCCTCTCAACTGTCAAGACTGGAAGGATTTACCAGCAGCACTAACATTTATGCTAAAAACTGTCACTTTTAAAGAAAACTATTCAAGGGTTTATTCATTGTTTTAGCAAACAACTGATATACCACCTTCTTCCTTTAGGGTGATTTTAGAATAATGATTTTCTAGTAGCAAATTAGAGAGTAAGTTTGGTTACAAGTGGGTCAAAAGAGGATAAAAAAAATCACTACTACTTTTAAGTGATCACAGCCATACACTTACAAGGAAGTCCAGTGAATACCACTATCATTCAGATATATGCACCAACAACCAGAGCCAAAGAAGAGGAAATAGATATTTCTACCAACTTTTACAGTCAGAGATAGATCGAACATGCAATCAAGATGCATTGATAATAATGGGTGACTGGCATGCAAAAGTTGGGAACAGTGAAGAAGAATCAGTAGTCGGAAAACATGGGCTTGGTGACAGGAATGAAGCTGGAGATAGAATGATTGAATTTTGTAAAATCAATGACTT